GATTCACAGCTCGGCCGCGCTCGGTGCAGCCGGCAGCGCTGGGGCGTGCGGGGAAACTGGGGGCTTCTGCGCATGGACCCTGCACGGCGCAATCTGGCTGCCTGAAGGGATCGCGCCGGCGAGCACAAGCCTCGCCAGCGCCCGTTCCCCCGCCGAAGCGACGCTTTGGGAAGGGCTTTTGCTTTCCAGCTCCTACCGCTGCGAGAAATGCCGCCGTATTTATTTGAGGGGTGGATTTCCTAAAGGTGGGGGCAAAATCCCAAGGAGCTTTCCCTTGCGGTCTTGCCCCAACACAGAAGCATCCTTTTCTTCTCAATGCGCTCTGCGGACGCTTCCTAATTTCGGATCAACCCACTTGCCGGATCTGAGATTTGCTTGGTGTAAACACCTGCAATAATCCCTCCTGAAGCCCCAGTGCTCAGGATGGACGGTGCCGACGGAGACTTTGACCACCGTGGCCCCAGCCCGAGCGCTCGGCTCATTGCCCCATCCTCGTTCCCAGCCCCGTGGGGCTCCTTCCCCACAGATGCTGCAGTTTCCCTGTTCCCTGCAGGAAGTTTTCCGTCTGGCGTGCAGCGCCCAGACGGAGCTGATGCTTTTGCAATAATAACCAGGATGGGAGATGGTAAACTCGGTCGCGCCGTCCCCGGCAGAGCTGCCCGTGACGCACCGATGGCCGGTGCGACCTTTCGGCCCGAGCCGGTCGTTCCCGCGCCTCCGCGATCTTCAAGTCCCCTCTGAGATTGTGCAAGTTCGAAAACGTATTGGAAAAATGCCGTCGGCTAAAAAGGTGGCAGGAGGGACCGAGGACTGCAAACAGCTCCTTGCCTCGAGCCCTGCGCCGACCTCTCGTCCCAAATTCCACCTCGACCCACCCAGCGTCAAGTCTCCTCCGCAACCCAAGGGCGGGCGGAAAGCCGCCTGTCATCAGATAACATACTGGGGCGGTTTGGGTTTTTTAATGGCTGGTTAAAGGGCTAACAACATCCTGAGGAACGGGCATTGCTATTTTTAGGACCAGTGGGTGCGGATTAAGGAGCGCTTTGGGTGAATGTGTGACTGTCGTGGGACGCGGGGTTGCTACCCCGAGAGATGGCTGCAGCTTCCTGTTGCTTTGCTTTTCTTTCAACCCTGTGAGGCTACTCAGGTCTTTAAGCCCGTTTTATAAAGGCAAGATTTGAGCCCAAATTGCCTGTGGGTGCTCCCCTTCCCCAACTAAATGGGAGAAGCCTTTGCATATCGCCTTTGAGTCCGACCCTCGGCCGCCGCTGAGGTCTGTCACCCATAACACAGGTCACAAATACCCAATCCTGGAAGGAGGAGTACGTTTATACATCCCTTTAGCTTAAAAATACTTGTGGGGCTGCAGAAGCGCTGCCTGATGCCGAGGCTGTCGCTGCTGCAGCGCGGTAGCCGGACGCGGAGGCTGAGCGATGCCGCGTCAGGTTCCCTCCGTCGTCGGGAGCAGACGTGCGGCAGTGCCGATGTGACCTTATTGCACCCAGTCCTTGCCTAAGAGCACCCAAACGGGCTATAAACTGTGCTGGTCTCGTAGCGGGAAGCCATGACCCGGCAGTCGAGGGCGGGAGCAGGATGGGGTTGATGTGGCTTTAGTAATTGATTACCAAGGTGATGGGGATGCCGGCTGCAGTGGCCCAGGGTTGCTTCAGTCCCCGTTCCCGACGCTCTCCTTGTCCCTGCAGTCATCCTGACGGACGAGGAGGTTCAGAGGAAGCGCGAGATGATACTGAAGCGCAAGGAGGAGGAAGCGCTCAAGGAGAGCCTGAAGCCCAAGCTCTCGGAGGAGCAGCAGAAAGTCATTGACATCCTCCTCGAGGCTCATCGCAAAACCTACGACCCCACCTACGCCGACTTCACCAAGTTTCGGGTACGTCTGGGGCACGCCAGCCCCGATTCCCACGCAGCTCCTTCCCAGAGGCACCAAACCCGTTTCATCCCGTGACTCCTCATTCGAGAGGAGTCAAAAATCCTACTGCAAAAACCTGGATGCTGTGGGCAGCAGGTGAACAACTGCCACCGAACTGCTCTCCCAGCCCCGTTCCTCATGTCCTGCTCTCTCTTCCAGCCTCCTGTGAGAAGCAACCCCAGCAACAGAGGCGCAGCGAGGTCTTCCTCCATCCTCACCCAGGACTTGTCGTCGGAGGACTCCACCGACCTTTTTGGCTCCGACGCCTTCGGCACATTTCCAGGTACCACGCTCGCCTCTCCACGGGCCACAGGGGTAGCACCGATGCGGTTTTACCTAAGCCTGGCCACTTAGACCCTCGTTTTACCTCTTCTGTGGAGCTTATTTAACTGTAAGATCCTCCTGGGCGTGTTTTAAAGGCTTTTTGTGAGCAAAAAGCATTAAGCCTTTGGCTGGATCATGGCCCTCTGGGTGTCTGAGCCCTCCAGGATGGCCAAGAGGAGCGCGAACGTGAACGCTGGGCTGCGTCGTTGCCGCTCTGGCTGCGGTTAGGCTTGATCACAGCACGGAAGAGGAGTTAAACTCCCTGGTGCACAAATCTTGATGCTGTTGGCAGCCAGCGAACGACTGCGCTCCCAGCCCCGATCCTCATGCCCCGCTGTCTAAACGCAACGCAA